CTTGAGTATTGTTTCACGTTTCTAGTGTATTCACCTGGGCCCTCACCTTGCTGGCCCCAATCTTTCGTCTCGCTGACACAGGTTTTCCAGCTTCCACCCTGACCTTTGGGCCTTCCCAGTGCAGATCTTTGAAACGGGCCTGTATGAGATATTGTTGTGGCTCTTGGCCTCTGACTGGACTTGTGCAGGGTATTGTTATGTGACCTAGGTCTTCAGCTGGGCTCATGCAGGGTATTGCCTTGGGATCTAGCAGCTCAGCTCAGTTCTTTTGGTCTGTAAAGTGTGGGCAGATTTCCTGCAATCTGATTGTGTATGACTCGCTAGGTGATTATTACACAACATCCTCATAAGTCATGTGTTTTATATTAAATTGTATTCCCATTCCAATTATTAAATACAAAAGTGATAGACATTGGTCTAATTTTAGTCTTTGGCCTGTGGAAAGCCAGATTTTCCAACATCAATTACTAAAGAGTTTATCTTTCTTCCAGTGAACCTGTTTGGCCCCTTTGTCAAAGGTAAGGTCACTGAGTGTGTTTGAAGTTGTATCTGTGTCTTCTAGTCTGTTCCTTTGATCCTGAAGTCTGTCTTTTGCCAGATCATGCTGATTTTACCACAGTAGCTTTTAAGTACAATTACAAGTTAGGGATTGCGATGCCCCCTGCCTTGCCTCTCTTGACCAGGATTACCTTTGCTATTCTAGATCTCTTCCCTTTCCAAATAAATTTAAAAGGTTTAATCCAGATCTGTGAGATATGTTAATGTTATTTTGATCAGGATTGCATTGAATCGTTATAACAGTTTTGTGACTGTGGCAATTTTCACAGTGTTGGTTTTTCCTATCCATGAGCAAGAAATATCTTTCCATTTTTCTAAAATCTTCTTTGATCTCTTTTTTCAGAGTACTGTAATTTTAAATGTAGAGATCTTTTCCTTCCTTTGTTAGATTCATTCCTAAGTATTCATTTTTAATTGGATTGTGAAAAGTGTGTTTACTCTAATTTTTCACTCAGTGAATTTGTTGTGTATAGGTATGCTGTTTGTTTTTGAGTACTGATTTTGTATCAAGCTATGCTATTTAATTTGGTTATTATATCTAAAAGTCTTTGGTGAAGATTTTGTGCCCTTTATGTAAAGTATCATGTCATCTGAACATAACAATACTTTCACCTTTTCATTTCTTATCCTTATTGCTTTTATTTCTCTCTCTTACCTAATTTCTCTAGATGTTTCCATAACTGTATTGAATATAGTGGTGATAGTGGACCTCCTTGTCTTGTTCCTGATTTTAGATCAAAAGCTTTCAGTTTTTGTCCTTTTAGCCTGATGTTGGCTGTTGGTTTGTCATAGACGGAGTTTGTCAGGTTGAAGTAAACACCACAGTGCAGGCAGCGAGCACTGGAAGTACCTGAGACTCAGCACCCAGCTTGTCCAGGGGAATAAAGGAAGCTGGCCCATTCCCCTGCACCTCAGGAGCAGGCCACTAGGGGACAACAGCCCCATAGGAGCACCCAGACTAGGCTGCACACGATGGGCAGCAAGGCTGGCAGAAGGGAGAAGCCAGAGCTGTGAGCCAGCTGGAGGTGAGCTAGAGGACAGCACTTTTCCTGAGGACAAAGATGAATGGAATAAAAGCTGGTGAGCAGGACGGAGCCTCCTTTGTAATCTTATTTCGTTTCATTTTATCTTACATTCTTTTTTAAAAAAATTTATTTATTTGTGTGTATGTGGCCAGCTCAGCCCACCAGGGGGCGGGGCTGGCTGGCATGTGGTGCTGGGGGATTGAACCGCGGTCCCTGTGCTTTACTAAGCTTGTTCTAAGTAGGTGCTTTAGACCACTGAGCCATCTCACCAGCCCTATCTTACATTCTTTTCATTCACCTTTCTCTTATTTTTTCTTTTTCCTTCTTTCTTTGCTTTTCTTGGTCTAATCCCATCCCTCAAACCCTGAGACCAAGCTGAGGTAATCCACTAAATATTCTTTCTATCCCCTTCTCCAGTTTCCGATATCTTGCATGACTGTCCTTCGTCTTCAGCCTTGTTTCTACTTACTTTCCAGTTAACTTTATCTTAAATACCATCCTCCCTAAATTTTCACAGCACAGGGCAAATCCACTCTAACAAGGGGAAACACTTTGTGGACAAACTCCGAATTTATGAGCAGTTCTATCATATAACTATAGGCTTTGTTCCTATGGTCTAGAGTACAAAATCAATGGATCCCACAGTTTCTCAATTTCTAAGTTATTCCTGATGCTATCAATATTGCTAATTGTCCTACTGTGGCTAGGATGTCATATCTGTGGTAATCAGTTGTTCTCCCTTGTGTAACAATACTGAGAAATTCTGGTGTAATAACCTCACCATAGCCCTATTGAGACAAACTGGAAGTGACTTGGGACTGGGTCAAAAAGAAACCAGCATCCCACTCTAAATTAAATGGAAAGATTTTCCTATACATAGAAGACATCCCTGAAGCATAGACTTTTCCTGGAGAGGCCTTGTACTGGTGATAGAGCTGCCTAGCACAAAAACAAGTATCATCACAGAACATAAAATTTTAAAACAATGAAATAGAAAATGACAAGTTGAAGGAGAAAAATGCAATCTCAGACCTCCAGCCCACCCAGAGCAAGTCCAGGAGACATTCACATAGAAGAAATTAGAAGTCAGACACCTGAAATTTCTGAAATGATAGCAAAATAATGTAAAGAAACAACTACACATGACTATAGAGAAAACCAGATCAGAAATAATCTCTCACGTAAAAAGTAAGTCATGACAACAATTGTGAAAGTATTGTTCATCATATCTAAAGAATATATAGATTAAAAAATAGAGAAAAATAGGAAAATGATGGAAATGTTAAATGAACAATATAGGAAAGAATTAGAATGCATAAAGCAGATTCAAACAGATAATCAGGAAATTAAAATTCCATTGAAAGCTCGAAGAACTGCTTGAACAAAACTGAAGATAGACTTTCAGACCTTGAAGACAGCATTATACCTGGCAATCATGAAAGGAAAGATCTCTTCAAAATAACACAGGGCCAGGAAATAACAATTTGACAGCTGCAAGATGATAGAAAGAAAAACAGTATTAGACTATTAGGTGTCAAGCAAAAAGCAGGTGTCAACACAAATGACATAAAACACTACTTGCAGAATAAAAACAAATTTCCAAGCATGGAAAAAGGATCTGGCATACAGGGAGTGAGGCTTGAACAACTCCAATCAGTCATAACCAAAATAAATCTACACCAAGACTTATAATAATCAAGATCTTAGAAATTCAGCACAAGAAAGGAATATTGAAAGCAGAGAAAAGAAAAAGAGCACACATAAAGGAAAGCCCATCAGAGTCACTGCAGACTTCGCAACACAAAGTGTCAAGTAAAGAAGAGCTTGGAAGGAAATATTTCAAGTCCTCGTTTCTTCTGATTCTGTATGATTTAAACATTTCTATGGTATAAATAATAGTTTTTAAGATTACATTTGCAAGAAAAATGATAAAGCTAACCAAAAATTTACAGTATTATGCTAAAAAGTATTATGCTTAGGTGTGTTTATGGCAAATGTGTATAGTAGTCATTTTTAGCATTAATATGTTTCACTTCTCTTTAGATAAAGTTGCTATCAGGGGAGGCTGTTCGGATTATTTGCTAGTGTACATGATATTAGAACAGCTCAACTCTATTTGATTGAATGTAATTTTTTGTATTATAAAGAAAGAGGCAGTTTAAGAACATGCCACTACTGCCCTTATCCATCCTGACACAGAACAGTATGCCAGTGTCTTTGCGAAGACATCAGGAGGACATCCGCCTGATGGTTTGGAGGCTGAGCAGGGGCACGGAGCAAAGGTTGGCTCAAACACTGCTCCGTCACCCACGCTAACTGCAGGCGTGTGCCAGCTCCGTCACCCACGCTAACTGCAGGCGGTGCCAGCTAATGACGCACGAGTGCTGCGGCAGGCTCGCCTATACAGGGGCACCACGGAACTTAGCTTTGAGGTTGTGCGTGGACGACAGAAATGCCACGGAAGATTCTAGTAACAGTACTGACAGTTAGTAGAATGAACATAATTTTATTTTTAAGGTGCAAAAATTATTTGGATAGAGACATAGAAACCAATGTTGTTTCTAAATGTTGGAGGAACGATGACAAAATAATTTTTGTTGTGTTATTGGTAATGCATCAGGGACAGGGATCTAGGAAACCCAGGCAAACTCCTATAGATAAATAACAGAAAACCTCAAAAATCAAGCTGAAGGCCTTTGAAGACCAGCCACCAGAGACAAAGGGGTGAGCTGGAAAATCAGCTAGATTTGTATCTGGATTTAAATATTGGCAGGAGTGTGGGAGGCACAGGCATTGAGCATGGCTGAAGCTGCGAGGCTACGAAGCAACAGAAGCTGGGGAGAGAGGTACCCAGCAAAGCTAAAGGAAAGCTGGACAACCGTTTTCCTGTTGGACCCTAGGGAGAGAAGGAAAGCAGCAGTTACCAACCTCCATGCTAGCAAGTGGCTTGAAAATAATGTTGTCTTGAAAATAAAGGTTTTTCTGGAGTGCAAGTATTTTCTACAATTAGAGTTAAAGTATTTATGATGCTAATACATTAAAAGTCAAAACTAAATTGGAATAGTGTCACTGTATTTTCTGTGCTTTCTATAATGGAAGAATATTATAGTTTTGGAATTATTTCCATTTTGAAAACATTTATGTGGCAAAATTAGAAGGTTATAATTTTAAATTTTAGGCAAATACAGCCAAGTAGAGTGGTGCACACCTGTAAGTCCACAATTTGGCAGGCTAAGGCAGGAGGATCGCTGTGAGTTCAAGGCCTGCCTGGATTACATAGTAATTTCAAGACCAGTCTGATCTATTAAGATAGTGTCTAAAAACAGGCAAGTTCTGAACATAAGCCTGCCTTTTGTAGAGTAATGTTCTCTAATTACACTTGAAATTTTCAGCATTTGGCTTTAAATTTTCTTTCAGGTTGGTGCTGGAGCCACTGAGATATCAGTGTTTGGTGCCGCCTCCGAGTCCTTTAGCAAGAAGAATATTAACTGCTCCATCGAAGAAAGTATGGGAAAATTTGAAGAGGTCATTCAATCTGCAAGCCAAATGAACATCCCAGCACGAGGGTACTTAGGAAAGCCCACACATGCTCTTCCATTAACATTTTCTGTTAAAGCTTACTTATGAAATGTCTTTTCTCCTTCGACCATTCCTAAAACATACACTTATCGCAGACCTTTTGTATTTTACCTATTAGGGAAATCACTATGCGAGGCAGGATTGGAGTGCAGGGGTTGCTCCTGCCTACAGCCACTTGCTTGAGGGGTAGACATCGGCACTAGGAGCTGTCACGCTAGCAAGAGAGTGCGGCATGTAGCAACTGGTCCGTCAACTGTGAGCTACAGATGCAAGAAGGCGTGATTTAAAGTGTGCCATAAATCGCAGAACAAGAAAAGTGTATTTCGGAGCCGGAGAGATGGCTCAGTGTCATAAGCACTGGCCTGGCAAGCACAAGGTCCTGAGTTTGATACCTGGGAACAACAACAACAACAAAAAAGTAAAAACAGAAAAGAAAGAAAGAAAAAAGAAAAAAAGAAGAGTGTATTTCACTGGAGTTGTGTGATCTTGCTTCTACAGATTATGGCTTTTTATTCATTTATTTTTTTTTTAGATTGCACATTGTAAATGAATTATTTACAAACTTAAGTGAATATAACAGTAAAAATTGTCCAAAATAAAAGTGAAGAATTGACAGAGCTTGGAAGACACAAAAACAACATTTCTGTTATATAGATCTTGCTTTTTTTTTCTTGGTCTTAACCATCCAGCCGAAAAGTATAAAAATGAAGTATAAAAAGTAAAGCCATATTAATATGTTCAGCTGTAAAGGGCTCAAGTCAACAACTTCTGACATTGCCAGTCCTACAGATAACCCATTGCTATTGTGGACTACTGAACTGTATTGGATTATTTTGCTGAATTCACACACCTATAGTATTTAAATGGCAAGAGAATACCCATCTCTGACAAAACTAAACAAAAAAGGGGATACAAATGCAGGACCATTTTGTATCTGTGTATGCAGAATAGTTAGGCTAGATGTACAGCTACTTTCTCTTAATTCAATGAGAAGACTTGTACTAATAGTGTTTGGACAAGATATCATGTCTTCATCTTGTTCTATGAATAACCACTACAAAGACAACAATATGCAAAGTATTACTTATTGAAACTGTCTTACTAATCAGTTTTGAAACTGTCTCATTGCTATTTCTCAATAAAATTAATAAAATAAAATAAATGGAAAAATATTAAATAATCTGCTATATAATTGTACTATATAATGTTAGATTTGTTACCATTTTTAGGTTTGGATAATTTTTATTATAATAAGAAAGATAATAGTTATATAAAGTAAAGGTATAATTATGATTAAACTTCAAATGAAAGAAATTAAATAACTTTGAATTCCAATTCTAATGAAAATCTTTCAATTAAGTGCTCTAAAATTTTTCTTTTATACTTTATATTTATTACCACTATTACTATTTTCCATAGTTGTTTATTCATTTGAACAAGAAAATTTAACTTAAAAACTATCTACATTTAATAATTTTCTTTGTATCTCTACCAGTCCAATCTATGCAGTGAGACCCTGTAGACCCTGTCCTAAATTCAAAATAATAATAATAATAATGATGATAATAACAATAATTTTCTTTGTTAAATGTTTTAGGATGTTCCTGTTTCAATGTTTATATTACTGCTCATTAAAATAACATACTTTTGAGAAAAGTAAACAAAAAATAATTTACAGATCAGTCATATAATATACTCTATGCCAAAATCAAGAAACTTATATTCATATAATTAGAATCCTCAAAGTAGAAAGGGGTAGGCAAACACTATTTAAAGATTTAAAGTTTCTGAATTTAGTTGAAATTATAGCACATTTCCAAGAAAAATGAAACTTTTGCACAAGAAATTTGAATAAAATTATACCAAGATACACAAAAATGAAATTGTCCAAAACTTATTGTAAAGAAAAAAATCATTAAAGCATACACATATAAAAAATTAGCTCTGAAAGATCAAAATTAAATAGCATGTTATTTCACATTAAAAAGAAAAAAAAGACTAAGTGTGTAAGAAGCTAGACTAATTCAAAGGACTGAAAGAAAAAGAAATAATCTGGCCTCACTGAATTTTATATTTAGCAAACATACCTTTGAAAACTAAAAGTAAAATATTTTCCAGGTATACAAACTCAAAATATTCTAATACCTCCAGATGTAGCATATAGGAAATAACAGAGCATAATCCAGAAGGCAAGAGAAGTTGCTGTATGGTCCTGTCACATTTAGAGGAAAACCCATCAGAATAAGAGCAGATTTCTCTTCACAAACCATCAAGTCAAGAAGAGCATGGAGCAAAGTACTTCAAGTCTTGCAAGAAAACAAATTCCAACCCAGACTGATATAGCCTGCAAAACTCTCTTTCAAGTATAATGCAGAAGTGAAATATTTCCATGCAAAAAGAACAACTAAAGAATTTCATGATGACAAAGCCAAGCCTACACAGACTACTAAAAGGTATTCTAGAGAGGGATCAAAATGACCACAGCTCCATGAATGAGAATGGAAAGAACCCACCAAATAGGGCCAACAATTAAACACAGGAGAATGAGAGGCATCCAAAAGCAGTTTTTCAGTTATTCTTTTGTATGCAGCAGCAAAATATTTCCATTGGCTCACTCTGCAAATGGACTTCTGCACCCTATGGGGCATGATTCTGTCTGGGTCTACAGGGTGGATATTGAGGAAATAGAAGATTATGGCTTTTTTAAGAAATATCTTCCTAAGTATGAGTCTTGGGACCAGTTATGATTCTGAGACCAAGTTTCAGAGTTCTTGATGGAAATCACCCCGTTCTCCTCCTGCAGAAAAAGTGCAGCAAGGGGTCAGCCAGACAGCTCTGCAGACTGAAGCACCTGTTTTGGCAGGCACAGGGACCAGGTTCTATCCCTGCCATGCTGGCCCTGCTCCGGGGTGCGCTAAATGGGCGACTGAGACTGGGCACGGTGGCGCTCACCTATAATCCCAGTGCTTGGAAGCCTGAAAACAGCAGGATCACAGCGAGACCTGTCTGTGCAGTGAGGCCCTGTAGACAAGAAAAAGTGCATCAGCTGGGGAGATAGCTCAGTGGCACGAGCACCTGCCTGGCAAGTACAAGATCTTGAGTTCAATTCCTGGTACAAAAAATAAAATAAAATGCATCACTTGAGATTGAGCATCAGGGTGATGTGCTTTGGGACTTTCATCGAATTGTACTGGCTGAGTTTGTATCAGGAACATTTCAGTGAACACGGTAAATTATTAGAGCCATTGGAAATGGTAGAACATTGTGTGCATAGACAGCACCCCGCAGAGCAGGCAGATGAGGTCATCTTTCCCCGCGATGTGTCACACACCACTTCTCATATGACAGCATCTATCAAACAAAACATCAGTGTGTCCTCACCCACGTTCTTCACTGGGTCTGCCACTATGTGACTTCCAGCTGTCCCTCGAAGCCTATGGAAGGCAAAATTTCAAATCAATAAGCCCTGACAAGGACCCCCAGCACCACTTCAGAAAGAGGCAAGGTGAGCTGGCAGCAGGGAAGAGTACTGAAGAGGGGCTAACAGCAACGTGCCTTTAATAAAATGTTCAAAGTTAATTATCACTGAACATTTTGACCACACCCGAAACAGTGATCTCTCATTGATGTCACTGATGATTATTAGCCTGGGGCTGTACAATAGGACTGCAGCACAGGCCTGGGGTTGCACAACAGGGCTGCAGCAGAAGCCTAAGGCTGTACAATAGGACTGCGGCACAAGCCTGGGGTTATAAAATAAGATTGTGGCACAAGCCTGGGATTATACAATAGGATTGCAGCACAAGCCTGGGGTTGTATAGTAGGATTGCGGCACAAGCAGTGATCGTGCGAACCTGGGACTAACCGTCTTGTTAACACGCGGGCCTCTAAATACAATTACCTCTTGATCACATTCTTAATAAATTGATTTTTAAAAGTCATCATAACTTTTAGAAAGGAATAATCTCATGTGACTTGCAAATCTATTTTTTAAAGTGCACTACTTTTCTTGAAAGAAAAGCTGTCCATGGCACCTTAAGCAGAGTGGCCGAGTGGAACGCGAGCCCTCGTCCCAGCCGCTGCGCGAAGCCCGGCCGCCCCGCTGCCCTCCCGCCTCGTCCGCCCAGCGCCAGAGCGCCGCGCAGCAGGTCGGGCACTGCGTAGCGCGCTCCGGAAGCTGGCTCAGTTCTGAGCCCCACCTCGAGGCGATCACCCCTGCAAGCGCCGGCATGCCCGGACGCTGGCCTCCTTCTGCCTCCCCGAAGCTTCCTTCCTGCAGGAGCTGCGTTTCTCCAGCGCGAGCTGTCTGCTCCCAAGCCCCCACGTCCTGGTTACAGGCAGGGCAAGCATCTCTCGGGATTTAAAAATGGAACACAAACCAGTCACTCAAGGGAACGATCACAGAATTTCAAATTAGTTCCAGTACTTGAAATATACGAAGCCACTTTCAATCAAAGATAGGAAAGAACGTCAGAAAGCAGGAGTGGAGAAGGAAGGAGGCTCTTGGAAGCGAGAGAGTCAGGTGGAGGGAGAAGACGGAAATCCTGCCTGGTTCATGCCCGCTTCTTGGACCAACTGCGACCTCAGCAGGTGCCATGACGGGGCTTTGGCTTGCGCTCCCGATTAATGAAGAAAGGGGCACATCAGCTGACTGAATATTATTTTTTAATATGCAGATAGGATAGACATACCCCTTACTTTAAGTGAGTACGTAGGATTTGCAAAAGAAAGCCGAGTGCTGAGAGTGATTTAGGTCTCCCTAGCACCTCCTTTGGCTGAGGTGGGCCGCGTTCGTAGTGGGAGGAATGGTAGTTAATTGAAAGACACATCAGCTTTGAGTGCAAACATTAGAAAGCACTAGAGCAGAGTCGGATCGCCTGGACAGCAGAGCCAGACTGTGCCAGAGCGAGGGCAATACCGCTGTCTTTCCTTTTTAAACTCCAGGACCCTTTCCCCATAGTAGGTCTCCAAGAGGAGTCACGAAACTACTTTTGTAATTAAGATGGGTAAGTGTCATGAGGAGTTTCAAAAGAAATTTAAAAGCTGAGAATATGTATTTTTGTAAGCACAAAATAAAAGGTGTTTATTTTTAAGACAAAATACACATAATCACAATCAAAAATGGAGATATGCTCTTAATTTTCTAAATTCAAATATAAGTAATTTGTTTTCTTTCTCTTATATTTTAAAGCAAAAAGAAAAAAATGAAAAGCCAATTTTATTTCATAATGTGTTTAAAAGGTAAAATCAATTTTAGTAAAGTAAGACTACAAGAAAACTTGAAAGAAAATAGAACATTTGTGTGGTTTTTACTAACTTTGAAAGAGAGATGAAAATATAAATTATATAAAGTTAACTCATTAACTTTCTCTTATAAAAAAGAATATATAAAGTTGAGCAAATAAAAATCTAAAATTCACTTCAAACTCACAGTTTGACAATTAATACTACTCCATCATTAAAGAAATGTTTATTTTTCAGGCTTTGACATGAAAGCTACAAAAGCATATGATTGGATAGAATCAACTCGCAGCCAATCAAATCATTGAAACATATTGTAGGATTCTGCTACACACAAATATGATTTTCATGCAGATTTTGTCAGGATTTCCCGGAATAGTACCCATTTTAAGAAATGCAACAGTTCAGTGTGTGAGCTCGTCAGCTATTCATGCACTTGAAATTACAGTGGCTCCATCCTCGCCCACATTTTTGTAGAGTTTCATGAGAGTGCACTGTTCTGCGCAATCTGGAGATCGGCACTTACCGTCACGCGTCCTGAGCCCTCAGTACCACTTGGGGAAACGCCGTAGCTCTGACGCTTTGGCAAGTCTGCAGGTCCAGCCGTGCCCAGGGCACAAGCGTTGTCCAGAACATCCAAGTCATCTGCTGTCAGATTTAAAGTCGCAATACAGTGCACATCTTATAAATGCTCATTAAAGCCCTTTAAATTTTTACAAAAAATAATAACTTTTATATGGACTTATTTTTCCTTAGCATTATGATGGCTGTTGCTCAATTGTTCCCCCAAACATCTCTATTATATACAAATGTGCATGTTGTTATAGAAGCTTAGAACCTTCCAGAATGTCTGACACACAGTCTATGAAGATCCCAGGCCACATCAATGAAGGCGAAGCAGGGGTTGCTGACTGCTCTGTTCCTGTGTGCGTGAGCAGTGAAATAAGAGTATACTGCACTTAGCTTTTCAAGATGTAGCTCATTTGTCATATATTTTTAAAAACCTAGGTTGTTTTATTATTATTTGTCTCAATTTAAAAAGTTAGGACAACAAAGAAAAATACAAGCCTATGGTCAATTATTTTCTCTTCTTTTCTAAAAGGGTAAATACTGAAAGAAATAACAGTTGGTTTGTCAGAATCTTTTTAAATTATAGTGTCTTAAGGTGTGAAATAGTACTCTCCCATACCCTTTAAGAGATTTAGGATTTATTAGGTTTTGTCTAAAGTAAATGTCAGCTTCTCTACAATGAATTTACATGAGCGGTAAGTAAACTCATTCTCTTTGTGGATGTCAATTTAAGACAGAAATCATTGCTGGGAGGCCATAGCTTCACATTTAAACTCTTATGGAGCAGAATATAAACCAAAAGGTGAGCAGCTTTACATGTCAAAGTGTAAACCGAGCAACTGTCCAGTAAGGCGGCTGTTTGAGCATGATTCGATCCTGGCTAATGGTTACTTTGCGAGTGTCTGACCTGAAGAATGCTCAGTGAGCTGGTTTTCCTGTTCACCCTACGAGCCCAATGAAACCGTGCCACTGTTGTTTAAGGGGTCATAAAATGCGAGAGCGGTGCCCCTGAGCTGTATCTGTTGCACTTCTCAAGTTTCCAGAAAAAGTAAAATGGAAAAGACTGTGATGAAAACAGGGAGCAAATGCAGATTAATGATTAAGCTGTTATAGATAATCGGTTTTCTTTTAGAAAAACGTTGTAGGTTATCATATTGTACATCAGTCATATCTTGCTTATAAAGATTAATACTCATATTGAAAAGGAGCTGAGATCCCAATTTTCCCAGGTCCCTCATGAATCTAGAGTGCTCATTTTATCCATATCTTCCTCTGTTGTCACCTATAGTAATTTAGAAACTGTCTTCTTTTAAGTTTCCAAAAGAGATTGCACCCCACACATTAGTGAGCAATTTCTTCAGTGCAAGGCTTTTGACGTTAGGAAGTTCTACGTGCTTCATCAGCTTTCACTGGCTGGCCAGCTCTACATGGCTTAGCTTTAAAAGGAAGTTTCCTAAGCTTCATGAAGTATGGGCAATGTCTCTTTCCTGCAAATGGTCCCCTGTAGCCTTAGCTCAGTGCAGTTACCCAAAGCCTGCAGGGCTTTGTGGATCAGTCAAGTCAACCAGGTCAGACTGCACCCTGAGCACTTCCTGCCTTCCTGTCCTGGGCAGAAGGTGTCCATGGATTCTGAGCAGAATGGTTCTGAGACCATTCGAGGTGCAGGCTCCTTGGTGGCTGACATCCAAGGGCCCTTGTTATGCAAAATGCTTTCTATCTGGGCTCCCAGAATGCAGGCTCCAGCCTCCTTCCCACTGCCCCTCCTTTCTCACATGGCTGATTCGCTCCTGCCCTCCAGATGCATTACTTCAATACTGGCGTTGTAAAAACATTAAGCAAAGTTTAATGAAATAGGATTGGTGATGAGCTGAAAATAGCTAAAACAGGCTTGCCCTAAAGCATAACAGTTTAAAATGGAAAGGGATCATTGTCTGCAGAAAAGGTTCGACTTTTTTATGGGCATGAGCTGCTGAAGAAGCCTCAACTATCTTTATTTGGAGCCTTTTAAATGCCTCAGACACTCTTCCATTTAGAATGATTTAAGCAAACTCGTGAGAGGGAGACGGGTGCCTCTGAAGCCACGCTCAGTTCTTGGAGCGCTGGGTGATTACTGACTGCCTAAATGAAGTGAAGCATCTGGATGGAAACAGAAAAAACCGAACCAGCATTTTACCTGGTTCTATGAGTAATCCTTAAGACTTTTACATTTAATAGTTGAATGCATAGAGTTATTTAAATAAAACTGAATGAATGTTGGCATGTTTCCATGGTATAAACAACCTCACAAGGAAAAGTGCCTTTCGCTTTGTCTCCATTGGCCACCAAATAGCATGTCATCAAGTTGCAGCCATTAGAAAAACAAACACGTAAACTGATTCAAAATGTACCTAAGCTGTTTTTGTTTTGTCTGCAATAAAATAATATGGAATAACTACAACAAGAACATTTTCTTGATGCATTTTATTGCTTCATTTTCATAAAACAGAAGGTAAGAGTGATTTGTCTACCAGATACATACTTATATAGCTCTATTTTAAATTTAGGTATGTGTCTTGTGCCCTGGGCTGTCCATATGAAGGAAGCATTGCTCCGCAGAAAGTGACGCAAGTAAGATACATCTCCAACCCTTTTGGTTGATGCTAAAGTAATGCACATTAATTTGAAAAGTGTTTCTCTTACTATTTATTGGTTCTGCAGAGCAGAGTAAAGAAAGTTGTGGAATGGGAAACTGCACCCAAAGACAAGTTTGTTCTTTTAACTAATTGCTTTATGTTGGCACCAAACTCTTCTATTTCACCTATAAAATTTCAAAGTGAGAGCTAAGTCTTGTTTTAGTTGTTGAGCTTTGCAGAGGATGAAAGGCCCTGCTCTTTACTGGCCGTCAGGCAATGAGTGGCCTTCACTCTCCGTCAGGCGTCCCGCAGTTCTCTGCCTATATGTGGACTTGGCCTGGGGTGCTGGGGGCAGCCCTGGCTGTGCCCCTCCACAGAGTGCATGCTGATCTACACCAGAGCACGAAGCAGCGAGCACCCAAGTTGAGGATGAGGCTGTGCTTCAAACTGTTGGACATCCATGGAGAGTGAAAAGTATCCCTCCCGCATTGAGGGAAAGGCAGGCTTTGATGGGGGCTCCCCCTAAACTCCTGCTCAGCTAGAGCCACTCCTACCTGTGCATTCATTTAGGCTCTGGGAACCAACTGTGGATGTGTCTGCTGACAGCTAAGTCATCCCCACAGCGCCCTGCACACAGAGCTGGATGTGCTGTGTGGTTGCAAGCCTCAGGCTGGCTAGTGTGTCCCTTGCAAGAGACCCCAAGGCTCGGGCACTAGCCTGGACCCCCAGGGATGTCTGTCGCAGCTTACAGCTTCAGGCCACGCAGCTGCTTCCATCTCTGCCCAAAGTCCCTGCCCTTCTCCCTCCACACCTGTTCTGCCCCGCTGGCCTATGTATTCTATTCCTGATCTGCCAACTGGATATAGCTGATTCACGATCTGTAGCCATCGTAAATGGACTCTTTGTGCTTTGCCAATGTATTTTGTGGTGAAATTACTGTCTTTTCTGTAAAGCCTATTTTCATCAGTCTATGATTACGGTTTTCAAGGCTTTAGCCTCCTCTTATATTTTCTCCCCAGTGGGCTTTTCTTTCTGACCACACTGACCTTCATGTTTGATTTTCCCTCCATGGAACGCTATTGCATTTCCTGTTCCAGCTGCCTGAAGCCTACTGACCTTGGTATTTGATATTCTTCATGCAGTGCCTCTCAAACCTCACCTCATTCTCAGCAACTTCACTGTCATCTTCAGTTGTCACTTGGACCCTTGCTCTTTGACAGATCTAGCTCAATTCCAGTTGCTGTTTGCTCATAGAACCGTATTTCTTTGTTCCAGAATTCATATTTGTGTATTTCTCAGTGGGGCTGAATAAAACCTGCTCTCACTGGACTCCAGTCTGTAACAGCATATGAGTATCCATATTTGATTTTGTGCTACATCTCCATACCTAGATCATGCGTGGCATAGAAGCAGGAGCACTAGAGAAGTGCATGTGAAGTGAATGAGTGAATGAGTGGGGGCCAGAGTTGGTATGCAATGGCTTTTATACATTCTTTTATTATTATTATTGTTAATTATTATTATTATTTTCATTTTATGTATTTAGTATAAGGTCTCACTACGCAGCTCAGACTCGTAGTGATCCTCCTGTTTTCCGCCTCCCCAGCACTGGGATTACAGGCGTGCACCGCCAAGCCTGGACTCAGTCATCAACAGCAAACTTGGAGAAAGGGCCAGCATGGCATGCAGACTGGGGATCCAACACTGGTTCCTGTTTGCCAAAGCAGGTGCTTAGTCCGATGAGCTATCTCTCCAGCCTTTACACCTTCTTGTTTCAAATACACACGTAGGTATACCATTAACATTGCTTCGATTATCTTTTTTTTTTAACAAAAGTAAAATTATTAAACCTTAGAAAACATGCCTAATGAGGATGTTTCACTGTCTATGTTCTATGTATTAGACACGTACATAGTACCCGGTATCTCCTGGCTGGCATAACCAGGAACAGAATCCAGGCCTCTTCTGGCAGACAGGAGCTCACGCATCCCTCGTGCTCACTGACCATCAGGTTGGAAGGCCCTTACGTAGAGGCACCCACTAATGAACCAGGAAAACCAGGTCAGGAAATCGATGGACTCTACCAATGGCAACTGTTCTTAGTGGCATTGCTCAACCTGTGAGCTGGTGCCTCCGGCCGGATCACTTCCAAAGTAAATACTGCTTCTGTTTGATTAGAGTGGCGAGGAGTAAGGCCACCCACACTGGACACAAAGCTTACATTTCACAAGGGGACAGATAGCTCTTAAATAGATGTGACTCTGGGGTAAACTTGAACATTTATGGTGAGTGATTTCATTCAGGTATTTTTTAGATTAGGATTTAATGAATGAGGGAAAGAACTAGAAAATGAGTCCATGGTTTCCACTCCTAAGATTTATTTGGTTGTCCTTTTTACACCTAGAAGGTATGTGTTGAGGAACGAGAGTCTGAGTCTGCATCTCACCAACGCCTTGCTTGGCAGGTGGCGAAGAGACTGTACGGCATGGGCTGCTATGAGGTAGCCCTGGGAGACACGACCGGCGTGGGCACCCCCGGAAGCGTGAGGAGAGTGCTGGAAAGCGTCCTGAAGGAAATCCCACCCGCTGCACTCGTGGTGCACTGTCACGACACGTATGGACAAGCCCTGGCGAACATCCTCATGGCCCTGCAGGTAGTCCGTGTTCGTTGTCTGCATCTCCTTATTCAGCGTATAGACAAGTTGAGAACTTCAGTGTATTAAAATGTTGTTGATATAATATTAAACATTTCAGAAATTCAGGAAGTTTATTTACAAATTCTACGTGTTTTAGGGCAGCAGAAGCCTCTCGTTAGTGTCACTTTTACTTAATAAAAACCTGTAATTTTGTTAATGTTAAAGCATTAGCCCGGATAGAGGTCTGAGTCAAGCCCTGCGGCCTCAGCCAGGAGCTTTACTAGACTGAAGCCCAACGGAATCTGAGGAAGGGAAGCAGTGGCGTATGCTGCTGTACTGTGGGACGGTGCTCCTGTTAAGGTCCTGCTCCATGACAGTCCTTGTGGAGAGGGAAGACGTGGTGTCAAGTTCTTCCTCACATTGGCCGCTTTGATCCCATTTCAACAGCTGAAATTTTGCTTCGATGTTACAAACACACTTTGTGTTTTGATAAGTATATTCTATTGTATGATAAATTTAGCCTATCAGAGAGTTAAGAATTACTTAATAAATTGTAATATTATAGATGCATTTATGTAAATGAATAGTTATACATAGTATTTTATGTGATTTCTAAAAATTAAAACTTAGTTAACAATAGATCCATTTGATGTCCTTGGAAATCCAGGTGTTGACAACTAGGGAGACACTCTGAAGGCCCTCAGGTGAGGCTCTGAGTTAGTGTTAGGGCCTGCAATGGAGAATCGCATGGCAGCTGCCAGAAAATGTGGGAAGGCTGAGCTGCACAAAGCTTGTGTCGCGCTTGTAACATACGTGCATAAAGCCTCACATGGCCTCAAGGCAAGCTAGGGACATTCTGTGGATTCCAAGAGGAGAAGATGTTATCAGGTCTTTTGAGCATTAGTTTTATAATGTCCCTCCCTAGCTACTCTAGTTTCCAAAAGAAATAGGGAAAAGTCCCTCTTCAGGAGTCTGAAGTGTAGTTATAACTTGTGAAGTTTTCCTCAGCAGGCTCCGGAAGTGGTCCTGAGCTCTGCCCTGAGCCCCGCTATTTCTTTGTGTGGATGTTTTTAGTTTTGTAGCAGACGTTCCATTTAACGGATATAGTTACATTCTCCTGCTCGCAGGGCAACTGTGCGAAATCTGGACCTACATCTCTTCTGGGCTCCATGTAGCTTTTGAAAAATGGCCAGGCATGAAGCAACGCTGGCACCTCGCGTGGCATTCGTGGAAAGGCAGGCTTGCCTGAGGAAGGGCAGCTTCTGCCACAGCTTGGAGTTTCAGCTACTGGTGCTCTGCAGTGAGCTCACAAGGTGGCCGTGGGGTTGAAAACCACCCTCCTCTAGCACGGCAGGCCTGCTATGCTGTCCCAGTGTACCTCTGTCTGTGTGCCTGCTGTGGACAAACCTGTCATGTGAAAGTCAGGCCCATGCAACAGTGTGCAGCACGCGGTGCACAGCAGCCAGCGCAGCACTTGCTGGGTGTGTGTGGACTTCGTGCACGGCCACCTCTCTGGGTGGCCCCCGGAGCTCTGTGTGCTCGGTGGGGATCTGGCACAGGAACACGGCTCTAGCCTCGTGCTGCGTTGTCTTCCTTCTGCTTACTGGACACCATCGGCCAGCAGTGTGTCCTGTTCTGCCAGCAGCGCCTCTCATGTCTGCCATTCACTTGTTCATGCTGAGCAGCAGTGTGGCAGGACTCACCTTGGCCAGACAGGCTCAGGCAAGCACACTCATTCTGTCCTTACAAAGGCAAAACCCTGAAACAATGAATTTCTCAAAACACACACCTGTCTCAGACAACGTTTGAGTGCAAATAAAACGCAAGAACGAGGCAGGACATGCACAAGGGCCTCCCTGCAGAGAGAATGCAGTGAGCTGATGCAGCAGCACCTGGGCAGGA